GGGAGTCAGGGGATGAGCTATTTGCTGCAGAATTCCTAGCTTTTGATCTGTTCCCATAGCCAACATATTTATATGGTTAGTCCAGTTCAGTTTCTGGTCAACAGTAACCTCCAGAATATGGATAGTGGAAGATTCAGATATGGTAATATTACTGAAACGATAGTTAGATTCTCTCAGATTTATAAATCTAAGCCTGGCTGTTGCCCAAGTCTTGCTGCATTTGAATAAACGTGGAATGTTTCATTATCTGAGGAAAAAGGTACAATCAACAGAGAATGTCCCCATTTCTAATCTTACGATGATAGCAAGGTCATTCATGAGGGAGCTGAGGATGGTTGGGCCTCAGGCATTATCCTGAGGAACTCCTACAAAGATTTTCTGGAACCAAGATGATTGACCTCCAATAAAACAAACATCAACTTTGACTGAACTAATGGAGAGTTTTCCCACAATTCCCAATGACTCCAGTTTTGCTTCTTGATGCTACATTCAGTCAAATTACTACCTTAATGTCAAAGGCAGTAACCCTTACTTCCCCTTGAGTTCAGCGCTTGTGTCCATGTTCAGACCAAGATTACACTGAGTCAGGAGCTGATTGAAAGAACCCAAATTAACAGTCGATGGATAGGTTGTTGTTGGGTAGGTGTTGTGGCCTATCCTTTGCTTTTATCATTGCTTTAGATAGCTGGGCAGTTTTGGTCGACAGCATGCATTATCACTTCATTGTTGACCACAGGTATTATTCAAAATGTAATAAATCTGATCCTGTATTAGTTCTTTTGGTTAGCATCTATTTAGCTGTCTCAAAAATTGATTCTATTAACATCCACAGTTAAAGCTTCATTTCACTTTGGCCATAAACACAAATGTAGAACACAACAATTATTGTTAATATATTGTTACTTAGCCCATATTAGCTTTTCTGAGTAATATCACATTCTTTTGCAAGAACTTGGTTAGAGGTTTACACTAGTCAGCTCCTGGCCCAATTTGCCATTCCATCCAAATAATGAATGGCTGATCTACATCTTAATTCCATAGATTTAAATTATTAATTGATCTAGAATTTATCAGTTTCCGTGGAAGATCTGTTTCAATATGTTGTTGACCTTTTCATGAAAGAAAGCTTCTGAACTTCTCTCCGAAATGGTTTGGCTCTGATATGCCCTTGACACAGACTTCCCCATCATCAGAAAATGTTTCTCCCTATCTGCCGTGTCATTTTTGTGCAAGTTTTTAAAAAGAATGTCAATCATATTACCTCTTTCCTTATGTATTCCAGGGCAATCAGGCTACTTTATATAGCTTCTCCTCATACAAGCATTTCCAAGAATAACTTATGGTCCAGGGAATCAGTGTTTCACTCCTTCCAAAGTGAACTTATCCTTTCTGATGTTGAAACTGTACTTTCCTTGCTGTTGCAAAACTTACTTCCCATTATATGTGATGTGAACTGTGGAATTTATATATGTATACATAATACATTTACATATTCACGTATATATGTGTGTAATTGCTTATTGTGAATTTGGTTTGCTGGTTTTTGAGTCAGAAACCAGAGGGTTTCCAGTGTATCTGAAGTTAATAAATGATCTGGAAATATTTCTGTTACCAGGGTGATTTCTTTTAAATCGATCTTTGAGGCTTAGCTTTTAGAATTTTACAATTGAACAAGATAAACAAGCTCCAATTTAGAATGTTAGGAGAGTCTTTTTTTAATCTTAAAGCAAACACCCTTAGTTTAGAAAGAGAGGTATGTTTCTCTTTGTTTTGGAGCAGTCTCGGTGATGTCCTTGGAATAGAATAGCTGCATACAGCAGTGCTCCTGGGAAGGAAAAGATATATAATGAACTAGGAAAAAAATAGAAATTGCTGGAAAAGCTCAGTAGATCTGGCAGCATCTTTGGAGAGAAATCAGAGTTAATGTTTCAGGTCCAGTGACCCTTCTTCAGAACTGGTTTTGTTTCTGATTTCCAGCATCTGCAGTTCTTTCAGTTTTTTATATAGGGTTTTTAACTAGGTTACCTTATAGTGAAGAATTAATGTTAATCCCAGGCCAGAATTGCGGGGATAAAACCCTGAAGAAGTTACTTAAAGCTGAGTCAATTTAAGCACGTAGATAATACTCCTGAAAGAATCTCTCTGCAGTTCAAGTCTAAAGATAAAGTCACAACTGAATTCACCTACTTAGTTAGATTGTTACAGTTGTTAGATACAGAGACTCTGGTCTGAATACTGTATGAGTAAGTCATATGGGTTCTTTATCAGTGGTGTATTTCAGGCACTATACAAAACCTATTTTGCTTCCTTTTAATTTATAAAGGAGTGTTCTAGGAGTAATGGGATTATACTTTGTGTGCTTAAAAATCTTTGAATTTGTGTTAACAATTGATAGTTCTGTTTATTCTATTTTTTTCTTTTGTTAATAAACTTCTGTTTCATTGGTAAAGCAAAATCTGCAGCATTGTTTGATATGTTTCAGCGAGACACCACTTCTCTGAAACAAAAACAAATAAAACTATGAGCTATAAAACTGAGTCCCTGTCTGGTATCTGACTTGTCTGGCAATGACATCAGCTGAGGTCATAACAATATTATAGCCCTCTAATTATGGAGATTAGCAATCTGTCAGTCTTTTTTTTTTGCACGTTTACTACAGTTTATTGATATAAATCCATTACCCTTAATCTTTTACTGTTTAGAAAAATACTTAAATCTATCACTTTCTAATCCAGGACTTATCTGCATTGAGGTCCATCTATCAAAATTTTTACCTTTTTGCTTAATGCATCAACTTCTTTTTTTATGCCAAAACAATTTTATCTTCTGACCATTATACCACCAATCTGTACTGCTGGCAAACTTGAATACATGGATTTCTATTGCATTATAAAACTCATTCGAAAATACAACAAATAGTTGAGACTTGAACATAGATCCTTGTGGGCCATCTCCAGTCACTTCCTTCCACTTATTCTTTGTTTGACTAGGCCCATTAATCTCCTAACCAGGCTTAATATATACATTCAAATCTAAGACTGTACATTTCAACAACTAATCTCCAACGAGGAAACTTTTCGAATGCTTTATGGAAATTCATGTAAACAATGTCCTTAGGAACTTTCCTGTCTACTACCTCATGAACATCTTCAAAATAGTTCATAAGGATTATTGCACATAACCTATCCAATAATAACCAAAATTGGATTTTCCAAACAACTCTAAAATTTCCATGTGCTCAGCCACCCTGCCCTTAGTTACACACTGCAATAATGTCCCCACAACATACATTAAATTATCAGGTATACAATTCCCTGATTCCTAATCTTCCTTCAGCAGCAGAGTTACATTTGCAATTTTCCACTCTAAATGGACAATTGCTGAATTGAATACATGGTCGAAGATTACAGCTAAATCACCTGCAATTTCTTCAAATATTGTTTTTAAAGCTTTGGGGTGAAAAATATAAGGATCTGGGATATGCCAGTTTTTAGTGCCCTTTTTTAAAATACTGATTTCTGGCTTTGGTGAGTTTCAGTCCTCATTTCTCTTTGCATTTCCCTGGAATATTTAGTTTATTATCCCCTTTGTCACTCTGAAGACTGACATAATTTTTTTTTGCCGAGTGTACAATTTCCTTTCTCTTTAAAGAAAAGACTCTAGGTTAATCTTGATAACTCTCATAAATCTGGATCATTACTGTTACCAGGCCAACCTCCCACCCCACACACACACACACTGATGTAAACACCTTAACTGACTTGAGTTTTCATTATTGCAAAACTTTCCTGTCTACTACCTCATGAACATCTTCAAAATATTTCATGAGGATTATTGCACATAACTTATCCTATAATAACCAAAATTGGATTTTCCAAACAACTCTAAAATTTCCATGTGCTATCCCCAATGATGACTTCACCAAACTAATCCCAGCAACCCCAAAAGTTTCATCCTTTCGTGCATGTCATACAAACCTTTGATAACTGCTAATATGCAACGTTCATTAAACAAGCCCCTCTTCCAATATCAGATTGGTCTTCTTCAGCTTTATATCCTTCAATGGGTCATTTGTTTCTGTGATATTGGATTACTGCTCATTTGCATTCTCGTTGCTCTATCATTAGAGATTGACATTTTAGTCATTAGGCCTCTTTCCTTTGATATTCTCTTAATAACAAAAACATCCTTCCTGTCTTCAAATTTTGAGAATATCTCAAATAAAAGGTTTACAAGAATATTGCCAGGACTGGAGAGTTTGAGTTATAGGGAGAGGCTGAATACACTGGGGAGTTTTTCCCTGGAGCAACGAAGGCCAAGGGGTGACCTTATAGAGGCTTATAAAATCACGAGGGGCATGGATAGGGTGAATGACCAAGGTCTTTTTCCCAGGGAAGGGGAGTCCAAAACCAGAAGGTATAGGTTTAAGGTGAGAGGGGAAAGATATAAAAAGGACCTGAGGGGTAACTTTTTCACATTGAGGATAGTGCATGTATGGAATGACCTCCCAGAAGAAGTGATGGAGGCTGGTACAATTACATCATCTAAAAGGCATCTGGTTGGATATATGGATAGGAAGGATATGAGGGATATGGGTCAAATGCTAGTAAATGGGACTAGATCAGATTAGGATAGCTTGTCCGTCGGATGAGTTGGAACAAAGGGTCTGTTTTGGTGCTGTATAACTCTATGACTCTATCTATATTGAAAATTTTTTCTCCTTTTTTCACCCTTCTCCCCTGTTCTGTAAAGCAGTCATATTTTTGTTTTGCTAACCGTGCTGTACAAATGCAATTTTGTATTAGCAACTTTATATTTCATTTATGCATAACATTTCTGTCTTATGTGACTACTAAGCAATTAACATCGAGAAATAGATTATAGTTATTCACTGGGAATGTCTCCATTCAATACAAATTATTAAACCTCTGAACTGGTTCAATGCTTTCGACTTGCCCTTTTCTTTGCAGTAAATTTATCTTCACAATGATTCACGGTACCTGGTCTGCCGTATTCATCAGATTCCTGGTGAACTACTTCTTTGACACGATTACCATAGCCTAACCGTGGATCCTGATCGTATGCTTTGAGTGTTTCACTGGAGCTGTAGGATTTGTGAGGTACTTTGCTGTCTTCACTATCCACTGAAGAACTGGTATATCGTCTCTCCTTTTCATGTCTGCTCTTTGTTAAAGACCGGTAGGGTTTTCGTTCTTTTATATCCATGGCTCGTTTGAGTAACTTTCCAACATCAATAATTAGCCGTAAGGGATTTTAGCCCAAAATATTCTGCAAGAAAGGAAAACCAATACCAGAAGTAAGCTAAAGGAATGGCACTGAGATTTACATGGACAATGTTTCAGATTATTATTAAAGATAATACCATGAATGTTAAGTCATCCCTCTTTAAGCACTGCAGATTTAGAATTTACCATTCTATCATTACAGGTTAATACTTAGCTGAAAAGCTCTCCTGTGGAGCCCTGGAGACATATTTCATCAAACTGAAAATATGCCGGATATTATCAGCTTTATGTTTGGTGCAGGGATTCTTGTGGAGTTCTCTGAAAGGTGATTGTGTACATCGAGCTGTCTACAGGCCAATCAGGAGAATATGGTTTTGTAAATATTTTTCGGCTTTTGATGGGGATTGCATTACAAAAGCAAAGTGAATTCATAATCACTCTGTGAACAGACCAACGACATGGCAGCAATCATAGGGACTCTAACGGCAGCTCATATCTGATGTAGACAGAAAGCTCAATTTTAATTTTACGTGCATGAACTCATTCACCTCCTGGCACTGCAAAAAGGACTTCTTAACATTACTGTTATGATACCAGGAGAGCATGTTGGTACAGGTATTTTCTACTGAAAGATATTATTGCATTCACATAATATAGCCTTCACCTGAGTTTTTTGAATATACGTGTAGGTGGCCAAGGAAGACCAGTAGCATTCAAGGCTCCAACATATCATATAATCATAGAATTATACCGTACAGACATGGTCTTCAGCCCATTGAGTTTGTAATGCCAAAAATAGACAACTACCTACTTTAGCTCCACTTTCCCGCATTGGCCTATAGCCTAGAATGTTTTAACATTTCAAGTGCTCCTCTAAATACTTGTTAAAGGTTGTGAGGTTTCTCACCACAACTACCCTCCTGGGCAGCGCATTCCGAAACCCGACCACTCTCTGGGTGAAAATATTTTTCCTCAAATCCCCTTTAAACTTCCCTCTCTCACATTAAAATTATACCCTGTTGTTATTGATGCTTTGACTGCTTTCTATTCACCATGTCCATGCCCCTCATCATCTTATTCTCCACGATCAGGTCCTCCCTCAACCTTCTCTGCTCCAAAGAAAACAATCTGAACTTATCCAGCCTCTCTACAGGCTGAAATGCTCCAAAGGTGACCAAACAGGTGGATGAGGGTAAAGCGATTGATGTGGTGTATATGGATTTCAGTAAAGCGTTTGATAAGGTTCCCCATGGTAAGTTATTGCAGAAAATACGGAGGCATGGGATTGAGGGTGATTTACTGGTCTGGATCAGAAATTGGCTAGCTGTAAGAAGACAGAGGGTGGTGGTTGATGGGAAATGTTCATCCTGGAGTTCAGTTACCAGTGGTATACCTCAAGGATCTGTTTTGGGACCACTGCTGTTTGTCATTTTTATAAATGACCTGGATGAGGGCGTAGAAGGATGGGTTAGTAAATTTGCAGATGACACCAAAGTCGGTGGAGTTGTGGATAGTGCGGAAGGATGTCGCAGGTTACAGAGGAACATAGATAAGCTGCAGAGCTGGGCTGAGAGGTGGCAAATGGAGTTTAATGCGGAAAAGTGTGAGGTGATTCACTTTAGAAGGAGTAACAGGAATACAGAGTACTGGGCTAATGGTAAGATTCTTGGTAGTGTGGATGAGCAGAGAGATCTCGGTGTCCATGTGCATAGATCACTGAAAGTTGCCACCCAGGTTGAAAGGGTTGTTAAGAAAGCGTATGGTATGTTAGGTTTTATTGGTAGAGGGATTGAATTTCGGAGCCATGAGGTCATGTTGCAGCTGTACAAAACTCTGGTGCGGCCGCACTTGGAGTATTGCGTACAGTTCTGGTCACCGCATTATAGGAAGGATGTGGAAGCATTGGAAAAGGTGCAGAGGAGATTTACCAGGATGTTGCCTGGTATGGAGGGAAGGTCTTATGAGGAAAGGCTGAGGGACTTGAGGCTGTTTTCATTAGAGAGAAGAAGGTTAAGAGGTGACTTAATAGAGACATACAAGATGATCAGAGGATTAGATAGGGTGGACAGTGGGAGCCTTTTTCCTCGGATGGTGATGGCTAGCACGAGGGGACATAGCTTTAAATTGAGGGGTGATAGATATAGGACAGATGTCAGAGGTAGGTTCTTTACTCAGAGAGTAGTAAGGGCGTGGAATGCCCTGCCTGCAAAAGTAGTAGACTCGCCAACTTTAAGGGCATTTAAATGGTCATTGGATAAACATATGGATGATAATGGAATAGTTTAGGTTAGATGGGCTTCAGATTGGTTTCACAGGTCGGTGCAACGTCGAGGGCCGAAGGGTCTGTACTGCGCTGTAATGTTCTATGTTCTATGTTCTATGTTCTATCACAGGCAATATCCTGGTGAATCTCCTCTGCACTCCTTCTTGTACAATCACATCATTCCTATAGTGCAGAATACTGCACACAGTACTCCAGCTGTGGCCTAACCAAAGTTGTGTACAGTTCCAACATAACCTCCCTGCTCTTGTAATATATGCAAGCATATATGGATTAAGACAAGCATCCCTTATGTCTCCTTAATTACCCTATTAACCCATCCTGCCACCTTCAGGGATCTGTGGACAAGCACCCAAGGTCCCTCTGTTCCTCTGAGCTTCCTAGCACCTTGCCATTCATTGAGTATTCCATTTCTTGTTCCTTCTTCCAAAGTGCATCACCTCACATTTATCAGGGTTTCATTTTAATCTGCCACTCATCTGCCCATCTGACCAATTCATTTATATCTTCCTGTAACCTAACACCTTCCTCGTCACTGTCAACCACCCAGTCGATCTTCGTGTCATCCGCAAACTTACTCATTATTCCTTTCAAGTTCTCACCTACACATTTTGTGAATATCACAAACAATAAGGGATACAGTCTGTCGTACATCGCTGCACACCGGGCTCTTTCCCATGTGAGACTTTGTCAAAGACCTTGATATCCATATAAACTAAATCTACTGCCCTATGCCTATCCAAACGTGCAGTTACTTCCTTACTAAATTGTACCAGATTTGTTACACATAACCTCCCCCCAACAAGGCCATGCTGACTGTCCCTGATCAAGCCTTGCCTCTCTAAACGGAGATTAATTTTCTTCTTTACTACTTCTTCAATAATTTCCCTATCATTGTTGTTAGACTCACTAGTCTATAGTGTCCTGGTCTATTTCTACCACTCTTCTTGTAAAATGGAACCACATGAGTTGTCTTTCAGTCCTTGAACACTTACACTTTCATTGTGGCCAGAGATGATTTGAAAATTTGGGTCAGGACAGCTGTAAGTTCCTCCTTTGTGTCCCACAGCAGCCTGGAATACAACTTATCCAGACTTGGGGATTTGTCTACTTATAAATTTGCCAAAATCTCCAATATCTTCTCACTTCTTATATCAATCTGCTCAAGAGCTTCACAGTTCATCTTCTCAAATTCTGTACTTGTATCCTCCTTCTCCCAAGTAAAGGCAAATGTGAAATATTCAATAAAAGCCCTACCACTTTCGTCTGGCTTCATTCACAGATTGCCCCACTGGTCCCTAATATGCCCTACTCTTACTCTCTTCCCCTTTTCATGCATTTGTAGAATATCTTGGGTTTCTCCCCAGTCTTGCCTACCAACATTTTCTCATGGCCCCTGTTGGCTCTCCTATTGCTTTCTTGAGATCGCCTGCACTTTCCATACTGCTCTAGGGCTTTTGTTGTTTTATTTCCTTTGTATCTGTTATATGTCTCTCTTTTCCTTTTGACCCAGTACTGAATATTGCTAGACATCAAGGATTCTCCTACATTTCACCATAAATGGAACATGTTGGACCTGTACTCCCTCCAGTACCTTTTTGAACGCCTCCCATTGTTCTGCTATAGATTTATATTCGAGCAGCTGTTCACAGTCAGATTCTGTCTTATTTAAATAAAATCTACCTTACCCAAATTCAAAACCCTTTATTGCAGACCTGTCTTTCCCCTTTTCCATTAGAAACTTAAAATACATGGTATTGTGGTTGCTAGCACTAAAATGCTCCCCTACTGTCACCTCAAACACTTGTCTGGCTTCATTCCCCAGGATTAGGTCATGCACTGCACCGTTCCTGTACAGCCATTTACATATTGACAATGAAAGCTCTCCTGTATACATTTTAAGAATTTTGCCTCCTGTAAACTCTTTATACTACTTTATACTTTATCCCAATCAATAATGGGGTGCTAAAATCCCCTAAAATAATTATCCTATCATTATTTTTATATACTTTAGTAGATTGACTATACGTCTGCTCCTCAACTGCCATCCAACTGTTTGGGAGCCTATAATTCACTGTTAACAGTGTGACTGTCCCCCTTTTATTCCTAAGTTCTACATGCAAAATCATGTGGTAGCCCTTCCAGGATACCATCACTCCTTATTTTTATACTTCATTTCCTTTGAAATACAGGTCAAAAATTTATTTACCTTCCCTATTATCTGCTGAACTGGTTGCTAGCTATTTCTGAATCATGCAGCCCTGTTTCACTGATGCTTATATTCTGACACCTCCTCAGCTACACAAAACACTTTCCCTCACTTGCTCTTGTTACCCCAAACTCCTTCAGACCTCCTCGTCTTCTTTTCCCCACATGCACCAACCCTAACAGTTATGCCACTGCTTGTGTCTTACTCATTCACCTCCCTTATGTCATCACAGGAGAAGACATCCCATAACACAGTGCAGCACTGTAAGACAGGTGGCAGGGGCTATCGGATGTCAGTGTCCTCACCCCTTCCTGTGAAAGGACACCTGCTCTAGTAGTAGATGACAGGGACCATTCCTGTGGAGACATCCATGTCCTGAATTCCGAATAAGTAACACTTGTCACCCGACAGCAAACGTCACATTAATCAGGCATTGAATAACATTACTAACCAATAGCTGCAGCACCTTTGGCCTCTTATGTCTTATAGATACATCCACCCTTCCAAGGATCAGTCTGTCTCCCTCAGAGGAGAGTTCCTTGATCACCCTACA